ATAAATCAACTTATAACTTGAGGGCCCTATCCAGATTAGTTTCTGCAGGCCTAGACTTGTGAAGGGCTTTCGGTGAAACACCTCACTTAAGCTCTCTAAGATGCTTGTCTTTTTGGATTCTTGATATTGGGAACCTGAAAAACAAGAACACTTTTCAGTCGTTGTTGCTCAGATGCCCCATAGATACCACTGCTTTACCCACATTTAAATCATCTTTTGGAGTAATTACTGTAAACGTGATGAATTTCACGTTCTGAATCTATTTTCACCATACATGGAGCATATGATTTAGGTATATTTGGTCACATTCCATGGATTTTTGGTTGCCAGGATTTCCAAGGTCCAGATCCGAAAAATTGTACAGCCACAGGATCCGTTCCAGCTGTTCCAGCGGAGATGAGGTTTGGGATCCAGGGGAGATTCCAGATGTTCTCCACCGTGGAAAGCCTTGATTTCCATCGAATTCATTGGGAAAACCATCGAAAACCATCGGGGAGATTTAGCTGGATTGAAGTAGTAAAAATCTGGGGAACACCATTGGATGACGACTAGTTCGCGAGACAGTCCGCGAGTTGTGTCGAGCCATCAATGGGGCTCTAAAATAGCGAACTACGTTTTTTTTGATAGTTGGTTTTGTAGACTAATTAATGGAAATAAAAGTAACTAGAATTGGATACTGGAAGTTATATTTACAACATTGAGAGGCATCTCACGATAGTCATGATATTACTGGGAGCGTAAACCAAGCTTTTCCGAACGTTTCAGCTTCCAGTGCTCAACATGCTGGGTGGAAACACCTGGCTTGTAGATCTTGTAGTGGCCTCACTTGCTCTTAGCCCCAGATGCAAGCCAAGCAGAAGCAAGGGAATGGGCGTCCCCATTTAGCAAGTAAACGCCAGGCTCATTTTCTGAAAGTGAAAGAACAACAAGCAGTAACTCTTTTTAAACACATATCACTCGCTTGCATAATAGTGCATTTGTAAGAGTGCATTTTAAATCATTATAATTAAACCATGAGACGCTAGACTAGATTCTAGACAACATATTGGAGTGGGGAAGTGGATGGATTATTTGGATGTCTGTCGACCTGGTGAGCTCATTCGTTATTCTTGAGAAGTGAAGAAACTACAGGTGTTGGGGGGTAGATAGAATAAATGACGGGGGAAATAAGCTTCGAACATGGTAACATGGGTCTATTTGAACTGTCCGTATTGCAGCCTGCCAAATTTTTGAATCCGGGTGCATCCTAGGAGTTTGAAGTGGGTACCATCTTACAATGCAATTGCATCCAATATGCATGGGATATCCGATATCCCCTAGTTGGGTTAATGGGTTCATAACATTTCATAACCACTTGCCAAGGGGGATGCACATCCAAGTAGGAACCCCAGATACCCCGTGGTTTTTGCAGGGCTGAGCCGCCAAAAGCAGCAGCAAAAGAAGTACCAACAGCAGCGCCAACAGCGGAACAGGCCGTTGAGAGCTTGGTTGGAACCGATTTGAACCAATAAAGAATATAGAAACCACCAGAAAAGGTAGAACAGTAGAATCCTACTAAACTGGTAGTACATAAGTTTTGTTGTTGCTGAAATACTGAGGCACTATGTGAATCATCTGGGTTTGTCTAGAAATGGAGGTATACCCTCATATACTAATGGCAATTTCATTGGGACACTATAATCGACCATGGCATTTTGGGACAGCTGGTCCCCGCAAGAGAAATAGGGTGAAGTTCTCCATCTTTCGTGACCTTTTTTTTCTGTGAAACCTCCATTTACCCTCTGGTAAACATCCAAAAAACTATAGAACATCCAGCATTTTTCATAGAGGAATCAACTATAAAATGGCCATTTTCAATAGCTATTTTGACATAAGCAGAGGGTATATTGTGGGATCCTCCAGCCGAAGCCCTACATGGCACTTTCAAAGTCCCGCAGTTTTGGCACGGCGAGTTGTCCAGTGACACCTGGTCACTGTCGCCTTGCTGAACTGCAAAAAGGCTGAGGGTTTCATATCTTTCAACTGCGTGGGGTGAATTTATTTGCCTGGAATGTTCATATGCTCTGAAATAAACCCAACAATTTAACTGATTCTATTGGTGATTCTTAAATTATCCCAGTGATTTCTTCATCAGTCACCCATAGATTGGTGATTCCTGCAACTGGCATGGTTTTGTTCGCCCCAATTCTTCTTGGTCGTGCTCCACACTTAAAAGACCGGACCGTTGATTCGAAACAGTTAAACTCCAAACTTTTGTTGGTTGAACTCATCACGTTAATCCGTTTTTGATGGCATAAACACATCCCAGATCAGATCCTAGTATGAGTATTTGTCTTCGTTTCAGAGCTAGCAGTATTGCGAGAACTATACCAGACCCTAGACAACATAGGCATCAGTCTTATACTGGTTGGTGGTTTCAAACATTTTTATTTTCCACAATATGTGGGATAATCCTCCCATTGACGAACTCATATTTTTCAGAGGGGTTGAAACCACCAACCAGGGCATCAGTCTTATAGTCTTCTTATAACTTCCCTTTCAAACTGGGTTGAACGTCCCTCATTTTTGCAGTGACCCTTCACCTTGCGCAGGTGAAAGTGCCGCCGAAGCAGGTGGAACAAGGGATGAACTGATTAGAGTGAGGCAGCTGGAAAAAACCATAGGAAAATGGAGAGTTTACCAACAAGAAATTAAGATTGAATGGGATTTATCGCTGATTTATCATAGCTAAGTTGACTTATGACTTAGTTAAGTTAACTCTGGTTTTTGGGGATTGTATGTATAGTACAGTAGGGGTTTTATAAACCAACATATTTCTGTGGGGCCTCACCTTGTATGAATGGGGGATATAACATGATATAACCAATTAATCAAGTATAGAGATTTTATTTCGTAAATTTGTAGATATTATGATGTATATATATATATACTGGTTGGTGGTTTTAAGCATTCTTCATTTTTCCATATATTGGGAATAATCATCCCAACTGACTTTCATATTTTTCAGAGGGGTAGGCATACCACCAACCAGTTTAGATCAATTACTTTGAAAAGTAAGTTTCTATCTTCGTGGCAACAACTCCCACCAGGCGCTGAGCTACTGGCTGCAAGTGGACAGCATCTTCGGCCTCGAAGCCACTTCGAACAACGGAGAGGTGACCTATGAGGCGGGCCTTATATCATGGGTACCTCTTGGTAATGTCAACCCTGGATTAATAAACCATGGTTTATTAGGGGGTACGCCTCCAATAGTCATTTCATATGATATATATTTAAATGGTACCCTCCTAATTAAACAATCTAGGGGTTAATTAATCCAGGGTTGACATTAGGTAGATTATATGGACAAACATGAAAGCTGCTTGGTGGTTTCAAACATTTTCTCCTTTCCATAATATATGGGATAATCCTTCCCATTGACTTTCATATTTTTCGAGATGGTTAAAACCACCAACCAGAAAGTTTTAAACAACCACAGCGCGGGATGGAATATGATGGAATGGTGATCTATTAAGCAAGGTATGCATAGATTCAATACTGAAGCTTGGTCGAGGACAACAAGTGACATCCCAGTTGGTAATTGCATCAGGATGTCTCTGCAAAAATGCGGGTAGCATTAAAACCCAATGATTGCCGACGAACCCATTCCGTATCTATTCAAAAACAATGGAGCATATCAGCCAAACGTGTCCAAAAATGGAAACATGTTTTGCCACTTGTCTGTCTTCTCACCCCGCTGGTTTGAGGTTTCCAGCCAAGCAGCATCACCGTGACATTTGCCATGAATTGGGGTATATGTTGCAAACCGAGATATGACCCAGGTATACATTGCAAACCAAGATACGTCCATTTTACTCATTTGGCAACTGGAAACATCGTTTCTAAACTCTTCATGAAGTTGATGGTAACAAAAAAGCCATGGAAACATTTCTCCATTTTCGGCTCAAGAGCTTCCCCAGTGACCAAGCTGACCAAGCTTTATCAGCAGACTCTGAAGTCATCACCAGTTTCCTTGAGGATATTTTCAACCAACATGATCCTTTGAATGCCTTGGTCCTCAACTAAAAAAGCTTGATCATTTTAAATGCTGGTTTGTTCTTGAAACTTCTTGAATAGCCCATTTACTAACATGGTATAACCATGATATAAGTTATATATATATATATAAGTATCTAGACTATATAGATATACCATCATATCCCCAATAGAAATTGATGCTTCAACGTGAAAGTTCAACCCCCCTTCACCGTCCCTCCAAACGCCAGGTGCAGAGCTATTGGCTGAGCCTCATGGCCTCGGTGGTTCGCTTGACCTCGGCGCCCAAACACAACCGCTCCGAGTGCCGGGTGAGGACGGGGAGAGTTCACCAGCAATTTCACGGTTGCGATAGTTATGAGTTATTATATGGTGGATAACTATCATGTTATGGTGCAAAACTATCATATTATGGTGGATAAGTATCAATAATTCTGGGTAAGCAATATGATCGAATATGATAGGAACATATAGGAACACTATCAAGAAAAGATGATCAACGAATGTGAAATGTCAGAAAGTTACACTGAAACGGTCAGAGTGAACTGTTTGTTCGGATCTTGAGGGTTGCTCCGAACGTGAACGATATAAGTGGCGTTTTAATTCACCATAGTTACAGGGCCCCCATGGGCCCCAACTTATGGAGGGTTTTCACATCCCATCAGCATTTCCATTACCCTCTGGTAAACTAACATAACTATGGAAAATCACAATTTTTAATGGGAAAACTCACTATAAATGGCCATTTTCAATAGCTTTTTGTATGTTTACCAGAGGGTAGATTATGGAACTAGTGGGATGAACTAATGGAAACTTCTTGGAGAATTACCCTCTGGTTATGACTAACATTTTGCCATGGTATAGATGGCCCTAATCGAAATAGATTGTTTACCATGGTTTACCTATTAATAGCATGGTGATTTTCCATGGCTATGTTAGTCATAACCAGATGGTATAAGATATTATAACATATTATAACCATGAACATGGACATATGAATGGAAATTACTAATACATATCAATCCCATTACTCTGAAATGGACATTTCAAAAGGGAACCCATGGAACTTCTCGTCCTTTCAAGGTGAAGTGTTTGAGAAAAGCACCAGGAATCAGGTGGTGCTTCCGAAAGCGACCGGCACCAAACTGGCGGTGGAAGTGGTGCAAAAGGCGAGGAAAACAAACAAACATGGGCATCTGATCCACATTTGATGAGGAATATATATATGTATATATATATATGTATATATATATATATGTATATATATATATATATTGGCTTAGAGATATCTACGTATACTGGGTTTATGGGAGTTGTGGGCATCTACATATGGTACTTCCAATGGACAATCCGATGCATCTTTTTGGTAAATGGAGTTTGGGAGCTGGGCAAATCACCGGGTATTCTTTGTTCAATGAAGTTCTGGACGCATCACAGAATATCTGTAACAGATGCTGTTGGTCAGCAAGAAAAAGTGACTCAAAACATGGAAAACCAGCTTTTAACCCGAGAACATCTTGGACAAGTTCAAAAAACACCCAAGAAAACACCAAGAAAATCCCATGGAAAATTCTAGAACGTACCCTCTGGTAAACTAACATAGCTATTGAAAATTGCCATTTATAGTTGATTTACCCATTAATAGTGGTGATTTTCTATAGCTACGTTAGTTTACCAGAGGGTATCTGAAAATGCTGGAAAATCCTTGAAAAACCCGAACAAAAATCCCACCAAACTTTGGTGAATCCTTGGCGTTCTTCCAGACTCCGGACGTTTTGTACATCGGCCGGGTGGATTTGGATGCCTCGGAGACCTCAGTGCATCAGCGCCTCAGTTCCGAACGCCAGGGGATTTTTCACCAGCAAAACATGGTGGTCATGAGGAAAACCACGGAGATGCCACATTTTTTGCATTTCTTAGCTGGTTGGTGGTTGAAAACATGGCTGGATTATGACTTCCATTTCATATGGGATGTCATCCCAACCCCATTGACGAGCTCCATCATTTTCAAGAGGGGTAGGTATACCAGTATACCACCAACCAGATAGTTTCTTAGTTTCTTAAGCCTTCATTTTTGATCACACTTTGGTTGATTCCATCTCCGTTGCAGCTGAAATCCCCATGTGCTGTTGGGAATCCTACCTCCGGTTATCTTACCTGCAAGGTTCAACATGCACTTTTCGGGTGATTAACCTCCTGTAAACATACATAGATCTGGCTTTAGCTTACGTATAGATCCTCTTCGGAAGGGAATTTTTTACCTTGGATTTCCACATCATTTGTTGGTTAAATCCCACTTCACCACCATTTTGGTTGGTTACATCACCATTAAATCACCATGAAATCACCGTTGGTGGTCCACGTCCCCCGTCCCGATGTCTTCCACCAGCCGTTGCCCAAGGGTCGACAGCTACGAGTTGCTCCCTTCCAATGCCCGGATTCGCCTTCGCGGCTCGGCGCGACATCGGCTTGGGAAGAGCGAAGATCTTGGGATGGGATTTTCGAAGCAACTCATGGAGGAATCAAATACAAAATGTATGGTTAATGTATGGTTAATGTATGGTAAATGTATGGTAAATGTATGGTTAATGTATGGTTAATGTAAGGTAAATGTATGGTAATTGATTAATTATGAATGGTTAACCAGTACCAATAGGTTAATCTCAATGTAGTGATATTTGATTATCAATACGGTGTTTATACTTAACATCTATGGCTAATGTATGTTAACCAATTAATTGGAATCAAAGGGTTCACCATGCATCAATGTCAAAGAAAGGGAGTAGCACTAGGAATTTGTTGATAAGTGGGTGACCTATATTAAAACATTATGTAACCACTAATACATATAGCAATACTACTCCTATTTTTGATAATTTGATACTCCTATAGCACCATACATCAAAAAACATATTAGTGGGTAACCTATACATTATGTATATTTATAATTTATATATATGTTACTTTGTTGATAATTATCAAAATTTCTGGTTCTTAATAAATTAGTGGTTTGATCAATGTTATACAACTAACCAGAAGTCAACAAAGTGGGTCTAACATGGTATTACCCATGAAAACTGGGGATTAACCTTTTTCACACGTTGGAATCTATCATGTCAACGCGCAGAAATGTGGATTGCCTGAGAAACCATTCTGTTAAAGTGCGAAAACATGGACCAAAACTACACATGCTTGGCGAGGAAGCAAAAAGGACAGTATCATCATTTTTGCAGTGCTTCAAGCGTTACATAAAAAGATTGAAGAATTTCCACCATGGTATGTTAGACCTATAAGATCACCAATATACATATCACCATTGTTTTTTCCATGTAGTTCCCTCAATCCTAGGAAATGTATGAACATATCAACACATTGATCGTCTCCGTAGGCTATTGGAGGATGGAAAATTACCGCGCCCAGTGTCCGTCTATGTTTTGGGATTTGTTTTTTCAACCATGCTTTTTCTCATGGGAAAAGCAGAGTTATGGGGATAACACATGCTTATTTAGTAATGGTAGATATTTATTTGTTTGACTCTTTCTTTACATGTCATCGTGGGGAGACAAACACATTGATGTGTGTGTACAAGCATGGGTCTTCCACAAGCCCTTGCAGCTCACTTTCTCGAATGGCAGAAATATATGGCTGGTTGAAGAAACCCGATCAGTACCTTGATTTTCACACCAAACAAGCTACTAGTCTTGGATATCCCTCCAGATCACAATGGAAATTACAGTACATAAATAAACAAATACATATATATATATATATATATGCAGTATATATTATATGTGTATATGTATAGGTTTTACTCCACCTCCATGTCATTCTGTGGACTTCCAAAACGGAACCAAGATTGGTAAACCGCCCGGGGCGGCATACCTTGAGTCGATTTCCTCTGAGGACCATATAGGACCATGCCCATGCACGCCAATCTTTGATAGCCTGCGAAAGAAATTCTTGTGTCTTAGCTGGTTTTCATGTGTGTATATACGCATTTATATATACATATTATATACATATATATATATATGCATGCTTCTGTATATACATATCTCCTTGTAGCCCTTTCTACTGCCTTTCGAAGCAACAACTGCACATGACCAAATCATCCTGCGTTGAGCCAGAAACAGTAATGCAGTAATATTTATCAACATTTTTAAACCATAGTTCAACAACTTGAAACCTGGAGGCAGTTAAACCGTAGAGAACCATAATTATCAACTTGAAACCAAAGTTATCAACATCTTTAACCATAGTTACCCTCTGGTTATTTAACATAGCCATGGAAAGATCCACCATTTTTAATAGCTAGGTAAACCATCTATTTCGATTAGGGCCATCTATACCATGGCAAACTTTTAGTCATAACCAGAGGGTAAATGGGATTTTTGTAGACTCAATCCACTTATATATAATAACTTGTTTTTTTTACCCACTTACGATTCGTGGGATGAGCCACCGGCTAATGGATTGCCCAAATACAGTGCCCATCAACATCTTCAACCATAGTTAACTATAAACATCATCTTCATCCCATTAAGGCCACCATTTGTTGTTGCTGAGGGATTTGTCCACATCGAGCTTCCGTCGCTTCGGTCTCGGCAGCAGCGGCAGGCGGGGTGAACAACATCCATTTTGGACAGATGTAAACGCTGAAAATGGTGGTTTCAACAATCATGATTTAATGGGATTTAACCAAGAAACATGGTTGAACATATTGATCCATTCACACATGTCTTTAGGATATTTATCTATTTTTTTGCTAGATTGGATACACGGGATATGCATATCAAACAATTCAATGGTGGTAATACTTGCAAGACAATGAATTTTAAAATCCAATGCAGTAAGATTATTGTGAATGGGATTGACTAACCAACAGTTGATACGTAACCAACGAAACAAAGATGAGGCTCCAATATTAGAAGACATTTTACAGTGTATTACAGATTTTCCAACAGGCTTCAAAGTTTGGGTTTCCCTCCAGTGCTCCAGTAAACTAATATCTGGTTGGTGGTTTGGGACATTTTTTTATTTTTCCATCATATTAGGATTTTCATCAGGTTTTTCATCATCCCAACTGACTTTCATATTTTTCAGAGGGGTAGGTATACCACCATCCAGACATGGAAAATCCACCATGTGTGGATCATTTCATTCCGGGAAACCTCTTGATTTCCATATCTCTCTTAGTTTACTGGAGGCAGTATATATATATATATATACATACCCTCTGGTAAACTAGCAGTTTGCAAACTTGAACATGGCCATAGACAGTTCGTGGATTTACCCATGAAAATCGCATGGTGATTTTAACCATCGTTTTTTTGTTAACGTTTACGTTGAGGGTATAGATTGGTGATACATCACACGAAATATCCCATAGAGCATGCGCATTTGAGTCGTCCAATTTTCAATTGGAGATCACTCTTCTTGGTGATCTCCCATGAAGCAACTAAAGGTGGTATTATTGCTGTAGCAGTTTAATAACATCTGTAATTAATACTACTGGTTGGTGGTTTGGAACCATGGACTTTTATGATTTTCCCATCATATTGGGAATGTCATCATCCCAACTGACTTTCACTCCATCATTTTTCAGAGGGGTTGGTTGAAACCACCAACCAGATACTGTAATAATAACTGGTTGGTGGTTTGGAACATTTTTTATTTTTCCATATATTGGGAATAATCATCCCAACTGACTCATATTTTTCAGAGGGGTAGGTATACCACCAACCAGATAAGTATCCAACTTTAACAACAGCTGTCACTGGAATTTAATTAAAAATCATCCAACTTGTCTTACTGGTGCTAAACGCAGGGAATGGATGGGACTGGGGGTTGCTGGGATTTTTATTGAATATGATTGATAGTTAGCCAGTGGATCATTCCCGAAAATTCCCTACGTTTAGCACCAGTAAGTTGTACAACTATACTGTTGATGACCAAGGTTGGATGGTCGTCTAACCTTCATGCTCGCAGGCGGCATGGTAACTCAGCCGCAAACGCCAACGCCGGCAACGCCCAGAGGCAGCCAGATGACGATGGCGGCGTTTTGTTCATCCCTTTGAAGCTTATCTAAGCCATTAACAGAGTGATTTGAGCCCACCAAAACTGGTGATTCAGACAAATTTTCATGGGGTATCACCAGCCAAATGGACCATATTATAGATGGACTTCACGAACAGGAGCTGGGGATAGTGACATGGAACCCCCAAACTACTAGAAAAATGGGGATGAACTCCGACAAATAGGGACGTTCAATCAGCAAACATCAGGAAATGGTATTATGAGACATTTGGATTTGCGCAAAATTGGGGAGATACCCTCTGGTAAAGTAACAGTTTGCTATTGAAAATGGCCATAGACATATATAGTGGATTTTCTCATTAAAAATGGTGATTTTAACCATAGTATTTTGTAAACGTTTACCAGAGGGTAACCAAAAATGGCGGCTTGATTTTATGCGAATAACCTGGGACTTTGGTGCCGTGAACATCCAATTTGCGTTGCCAAAGGTGGGAAGTTGATAGCTTGACCAGCGGATGTGCTGACAAATCTGATGTGTTTAGATGACTATGGGTGAGTTTTTCCTCAACTGACGTTTTTTTTTTTTCTACCCTTGCGAAATGGGGAGTCCTGGCTATTCACTGATCAGGTTGACATGGAGAATTGATGAGTATCATTAAGAATAGTCATTTGCATATTATAACTATATAGTGAATATAGTAAACTACAGGTGGTGATTGATACTTAATAAATCTTAATAACACTTCTGCAAGAATGGGTGACCTGAGCGTAGAAAATATGAGGCTTCTGAGGCGCGGGAGAATCGGTTCTCTGGTTCTCCACAATCCAATGACATGATCTATCCACTGTGACGGGTTTTTTCGGGCCTACAGTGATTACCCTCTGGTAAACGTTTACATAACTATGGAAAATCACCATTTTTAATGGGAAAACTCACTATAGATTGCCATTTTCAATAGCTATGTTAGTTTACCAGAGGGTATCAGGGAATACCCTTTGGTAATTTAACATAGCTATGGAAAATCCACCATGTGAAAAATAGGTAGATAATCTATAAATGGGGCCATTTTCCATAGCTATGTTAAATTAGCCGCGGGTAGGATATAGACTGACGTACCCACTAGTCCTTCCAATTACTAGTGGCCTTGTATGTCATCGATTCATCTACTGGATATCCCGATACGAGGGACAATAATACAAAAGTACCTATGCCAACTTTTGGGGTGTGAACATCAGGGTGACAACCAAGTATGTTGAAAAAATCCAAGAAGATCCATGCTGTTTGATCATCCTTTTGGTGAAGACAGCGGATTTTGGTTTAATCCGTTGTTTTCTTGATTAAATCATGTCAAATCACATGTTGTTTGAATAATTCTTGAAAAATGTCACATGATTTATCTTATCATCGTTTTATCATCATTTTAGTCTTCACACCCTAAAATCCAGGCTGTTGTTGTTTGAAGACACCGTTTTTTGTTGGTCAAAAGCGCCCATTTCAGGTTCCCTTCAGAGCGTCGCCTCCAGCAAGGTGGTGGTGACCAATCGGATCCGCCTGGAAAGTGGTGATTTCAGTTTTCTTGGAAAACACAAGTTAAGTTTTTTTTTGTTTAAATATAGTTCACATTCATCCGCGATTGTTGTTTTGTTGTTGTTGTTGTTGTTGTTGTTGTTTTTCCTGAAATCATTAAGTTGGTAAACACAACTCCAACAACCATGATTTTTTTCATGGGAGATATCAGACTTCATGGGGTGCAACGGACGGTGCAACAGGTGCAACAGACATTTCCCACCGAACAATTCGAACATCTGTCGCAGAGTTTGCACCGTGCTCAAAGACAGCCTTTGGATGTTTTCTGATGTCAATTTCCATGGTGTTTGTCTGTATATATACCTGGAAAACCGTATGAACATTTTTTTTTGTCCATTATGGGTGTTACCCGTAACGGACGTTTTTTTTGTTCAATTGCGTATTTTGGTTTTTGATTGTGAAGGGTTGTTCAAATCCTTTGACAACACCGTGTTCGGACATCCTCCGACAGTTTCCAAAAGAGGAATTTCAGTCCAAAGTGGAGCAAATTGGGAGTCGTGATCGGGCACCCAAATCTGGCCACAAATACTGCCATATTTCCCACCAAATTTGGATGTACCCATAAAATACCAGTATTTTTTCAACATCATGTTGAAAAAAAAACAGTAAGCAAATGTCAACATACTGCCCCAAATACTGTCTCTAGACGAGACACTCATACTGTCGGAACCAGTCCGACAAATCCAAGAGTTCAGGAAAACTATTAACTAAATTCACCTGTAAGTAGAGGGTTTGCAGCTGGACATGGCCGTATTTGGAAAAAACACGTAACGGACAAAAAAAATGTCCAAACCCGTACGGACAGAAAATTTTGTCTTTATGGTTTTCCAGGTATATATATATTATAATGTTTTTCTTTGGATTCCACGGAGAACTTCGCCAACAAAATGGGCGCCACACGTTGTTTCGGGAGAAAACTCACGTCCAGGCCCGGCAACCGGTGGAGGAAAGAACAGCAGGCGCGGCGGCAACGCAACTGTGGGGTTGTGATCCTCATCACAGGGTTTTCAAGGCTCCAAACAGATCTGTTGGAAAATGCCAAGATTATTTGGAAAAGGGTAAGGGTTTTCATTGGCCTATTTTCATGATCCTATAGGAAAAGGCCAAGATTTGGGTTTGTCGGAAAATAGGGCAATGTATTATTTATATTGATTTATCATCGCTTTTCCGACATAGGTTCTATATTCGGTGGTTCGAGGATATATCGGTATATCCCATTTTTAGATTTACCCAAATATTATGTCGAGTTGGTTATATATCCCATTATAATCCATTGTCCATTGTGTCCCCATTACAATCCATTAAAAAATCCTTAAAAGCCCATCAAAATCCCCAAGATTGCATAAAATCCCTAAAAACCCATCAAGATTACCCTCTGGTAAACTAACATAACTATGGAAAATCATCATTTTTAATGGATAAATCAACTATAAATGGCCATTTTCAATAGCTATGTTCAATTACCAGAGGGTACCTAAAAACCATAAATTTACTGTTTCCCAGGCCAAAGCGCTGCTGCGACAAGCGCGGTCACGCCCGGCACCCTTCGGCCTGCCGCAACGACAAGCGCGGCTGTGGCGCCGCCGACCAACGTGGCGCCGGCCGCGGCTGTGGTGCAGGCGGTTTTTGGGGGAACGGACTCGATGGGGAATGATTGGATAATGATGGAAAATCATCATCCAGTGACAATCCCATGATTGTAATAGTCCAAAAATGGAGGTTATATCCCATGCTGATGCTTGTCTCATAATTATGCCCATAAAGGTGAACAATATCCACATCAATATTAGTGTCAACCCTGGATGAAGTATAGTCGCTGTTTAATTGTTTTAATTGTGGGAGTACCGTTTAAGTATCAGATGATCTCTATTTGAGGAATACTCCCTTGATTAATGAACCACGGTATATTAGTCCGGGGTTGATAGTAATGATGGGAAAATCCCAAAAAGAAATCGAGGTTTGTAGCTGGGGATAAAACACATAAAACTATTTCTGAGAATTTCTGGCGGATTTTCTAGCTATGTTTGATTGAAGGCTTTTTTGCCGGGGATACCCTCTGATAATCTGACAGTTTGCCGTGGGAAATATGGAAGATGACCATGGCCATGTTGAATTATCAAGGGGTAACACCACTTCATTTGGGTATCCATTTTTCCATAGATGATATAAATCATACCCTCGGTAATTGAACATAGCTATTGAAAATGACCATTTATAGTTGATTTATCGATTAAAAATGATGATTTCCCATAGTTATGTTAGTTTACCAGAGGGTATATACCAACATTTAAATCATGGTATACCAACATTTTCCATAGATATCGTGGGATGGATAGTCTCAGTTGAAAATCCCAGGTATGGGAAGAGTATCCATGACTTCGATACATTCTGGCTTATGGACATGGGATACTTCGTGTATGACATGAATATTTTTTTTGGTGACCAGCGTTTGCGTCTTGTTTCAAATGGGATGGCGAGACGTGATGTTTCCTGTTCACTTTCAAAATGACCACATCCATGTTTTGTGGGACACATCCTTCACCCCAAGATTTTAATAGGCAAGAATTGACAGGCGTTGGTCAAGAGATGCCAGCAGTATCCCCATGATCAATGATAAGTCATGCTGCAAATAGTTCCTGAGTTCTTCTTGTGGGATGCAACCATTCCCATGACTCCCATGAGAATAACCATCCCTACTGAATTGCATCCTCTTACAAAAACTCGAAATCCTGCTTCCGAGCCTTGATACCCCGAAACTTTTCTCACCATTTTTATCAGCCTTCTTTTTTTTCAGGTGTCTCAGAGTTGCAATGATGGGATATTTCACCCCACCTCTCAAGCTGTGATCCAGCTGTTTCCTAAAGGCTGAAACCGAGGAGGAGTACGAAGAAGGAGAGGAGGAGGAACTCACGGAGGATGAGCCTTGGATAGTGAACATCCGCCGGGGGGGGTCAAGATTTTGCTCAAGAAGTTCAACATTTTCCATCATTTTCCATTGATTCCTGTTGTGGAAAAGAAAACCATTTTGGTATTGGGCCTGGACTTTGACCGAGAATCACCTGTCGATGTCAGCTTTCATGGATGTTCCATTGCAACACTGTTTCACCGCATAGTACACTGTTGGCAGGACAGCAGGAGGCCCAAAATGCATCAAAAGTGAATTCCAATGAATTTGGGCCACTTCGATGGTGATTACCTTCATACTTTTTGTTTGGGACCACCTCTTTGGGTCATCTACAAGTCAAATGGGGCTATGAACCTGCTTGGAGGCCCACAATTGTGGAGCATTCAGGGGATTTCCCGTAGATTTCGGTTTCAGATTTGATCGGCTTACAGAAATGGCGTTTGTCGCCGACAAAGATGTTGCAGCTATGGCGATGAATGCATCACCAGGACAAGAGAAGTCAGCCGAAGTTCCAAGCGACTGGCCTCTCCTCAAAATTCACGTTGCTTTGCCGAGTGGACGTGGCGAAACCGTCTCAGTCTCGGCATCTGGCGAAGTTGTCGATCTGAAAATCGCTGCAGAGCAGTCTTTGGGGCATCCTTTCCTGAAGCTTGCTGCACCCGATGGACGTCTCTTGGATCCTGCAGGCTCCCTTCGACTTTCTGGGCTTCAGGTTGGAGACAGCCTCACTGCTGTTGCACAGCGAAAGATGTCTGCAACAAGAGATGCGTTTGCTTTGTGGTGTGTTGGAGGCAACAGAATTATCACGTGGGGCGATCCCCAATATGGTGGTAACTGCTCCAGAGTCCAAGATCAACTCAGAAATGTTCAGCAGATTTGTGGCACAGGGGGTGCTTTTTGTCGCGATTTTGGCAGATGGTTCTGTGGTGACGTGGGGTGCGCCAGACCATGGTGGTGACAGCTCCAGAGTGCAAGAGCAGCTCCCGAATGTCCGGCAGATCAGTGGCACAGACTTGGCTTTCGGTGCCACTTTGGCAGATCAAAGCGTGGTGACATGGGGCACTCAAGACTGTGGTGGTGACAGCTCCCGAGTCCAAGATCAGCTTCGGCATGTTCAGCAGATTTGTAGCACAGACGGTGCTTTTGCTGCAATCTTGGCAGATGGACCTGTAGTGACATGGGGCAGTCCAGACCATGGTAGTGACAGCTCCAAAGTCGAAGATGGCTTCAGGTACATCTAGACGTGTGGCATGTCAAATAAAACGGGGGGCCGGGGGATGTGCCAATGTGCATTCTTTGCAACAGTGTGGCCCTTCAATCCCGATGCTGGTTGAAGCGTCCCCACAGGGATGTATATTATAGATATACCCTCTGGTTATGACTCACAGCCATGGAAAATGGCCCATAGAAATAGATGGTTTACCTAGCTATAAAATGGTGGATCTTTCCATGGCTATGTTAGTCATAATCAGAGGGTATACTGTACAAGTTATAAATTCATGGCCAATTTCATTTCAATGACTCATGGGCTACTTGGATTTGCATCCCACTTAGCAAGTTGTGAAAAACATAACTGGGTATCTCCAATATACACAATATTAATCACACTGTTGTATATACTGTAAATAACGGGCCTGATTTAGTATGGTTATTTCCCACTAAACATATATATATTGTACACATATATATATATATATGTAAATATATATATATATATGATGTCTAGTTATCACTGACATATTCAATATCTAGTACACGCTTCCATGTTGTGTCACACCCTTTGTGAATGGTTTTTTATCTCCCAGGATTCCCCCAAACGACCAAAACCGTTGCGAGACCCGAACAAACTCCCGTCGGAAAAGTAGCGTTCTTCTACCTACGTACTACGTTCTTGCACCTATATACTACCTATCTGATCTCTATCTGTCTCTATATATATAATATATGTGTATACAATGCACATTTAATGTACTATCTGCAAACTCTCTCTCTCTATATATATATACATACAGTACATATCACCCACCTATATGAGATTCCCTAGAACATTCAAAATATCTCCGTACTACCTATATATTTACATACCTTGTCTATCCCTTGTATATAACATATATATACATATATCCAGCATACGTGACACATTGGCTACACAACCCATGGCCTCTGAGGATCCCATGGTCGCTTCCTGAAACCGCGATGGCGGGCCTTGCGATGGCGAGCTTCACCGGTGCAAACACCGGTGCTCTCAATCATCCGAAATACCTTGGTGAACCTCGAGTTATGGCGGGAAACAATCAAGTTGATTATATAATTAATTAATATTAATTAATTATATAATTGATTAATTAACTATATATATATATATATCATATAATCAAATAATTTCCCCATATAATTGATGTTCTCTCAAGCCCCAAATCTGGGAAAACGCGGTTTTGATCTGATCCATCCCACAATGGAAAAATATCACCATCCCTCTGGGGGGTCGTGTCCCAAGGATCCATCCCAGTCAGGTTAAAGAACGGGTCCCATTGGGGACTTCCATTGACCCTGAAAATCCTTCAAGCTCACCAAGATTCACCAAGATAGCCAAGGATGTTTTGTCAGAATCGGCCCACTTGCCAGAATCCAGGAAAATGATGGAAAATTCTTGGGATCATAGTCTGTACAGAGCCCCAAATTTGGATGCCCTAAAGCCATTCGGATTTCACAACGGATTTCCCGCTGAGCCTTCCAGGGATTCTTTGGAGCATACCCACACTGTACATAGCGCGGCGCAGCTTCGCCCTGTTAATGCCAGTTTTAGTGGAGAAAACGTGAGTGGCGGTTGGTTCTTGGAACGCTGGGAAGGCAGTTCTGCATATTTCAGTTTTGTAGCTTTGAAGGGAGATCAGCGTGTGTCAAGAGTGGGAATATCTCCCAAAACCGCGAGGATTCCAGTCGGAAATGATAGAGTCGGGTCGTGACATCTTCAGAATTGATGGTTGAGAAGGAGAAACCACCAGAAATAGGCAAAAGATGCCAAAAGGCATCTTATGAACTTATGACCATTCCCGGGTGGATTTGTTGCATATCTGGGAACGTAGCCACAATGGGCCGTTGTGGCAATTCGGGCCTGCTGTTGGGGAAGATCCATCCAGTGCCAGTGCTGCAGCCACTTCCGGCCATTTCGGAAAGTGGGTTACCGGCCAATCACCGATCTACATCATATGTTCGCTGATTTCACTGGTTGGTGGTTTGGAACATTTGGATTACCCTCTGGTTATTTAACGTAGCCATGGGAAATGACCCATTTATAGAGGTTTTCCCATTAAACATGGTGATTTTCCATAGCTATGTTAAATTACCAGAGGGTATATTTTTCTATAGGGAATAATCATCCCAACTGACGAAGTCATATTTTTCAGAGGGGGAGGTCAACCACCAACCAGTTCATCACTAATGTGGGAGGGACAGTCCCAAAGCAAAATGCCAATCATCAACCCCAAAGGGGGCGGATAGACCAAAATTATCCCGATAGACACGATCATTCATATCAGTGGTAGCGTTTTCTTTTCCCCACTCTTTGTCAAAAGGCTCCCGGTCATAGAAAAGTGTGCTGAAGCCATAAATTCTTGGATGTTTTTTTTGACCCAAACATGGTAAATATTCACCATGCAAACTCATCCAAAAATCAGGACCGGCGAACCCCGGTGAAAAACCATGGTTCTGACCGATACTGCACTCAGTTGAGATTCTGGTGACTTGCCATGGCTTACGAGGTGCCACGGTGGATTTTTTGTGGACTACCGGGTAGTGGTTGACAGAGCTGCAAAGATTTTGAGTATAATTTGGAGGTTTTTCTTCCTGAACAGACGAAAGTTTGGATCGACTTGTCTGAGAGCATTTTATAGTTAGTTGTGAACTTATCCTTTTAGGGGTCGTTGATGTTTTCCAGTACATCATCCCACATTCGGAGAAAGAAGGTCCGACTTGCGCGGATGGAATGATTGGAATGTGGGAGAAGCATGGCAGTTTAACAGCACACATAGTTTTTTTTTCACCATCACCATTCTGATTGAAACAATAGAAATGATGATCCAACCACGGAAAATGGTGGTTTGAACACTTTGAACAGTTTGAACAGCAACAAGAGTCACAAAACAGGAAAGACGCATGGAGACGCGTTCCGCATGACTCGCCCAGGTGGCATTGGATGAGACCCTAAAAGTCGATTCTCCAGACCTTGTGGAAGGCGCCCTGCTTCAGAGGTGCGCAACTGTCGCGCGATGTCGCCAGGCACATGGAAAACACGGGTAACTGGAGAACATCTGTCCGAAGGACACAAGGAAAGCCTGGATGAAACATGACATGATGAGTTTCACTGGTGAAGTACAAAGAACTGACGACTGAAGATACCTAAGAAATATGTACCAATGCAATAAACATGTACCTAAGGAAGAGGACTTCTTCAAAATGCAGTACCGTTTTTTTTTTTGTAAAATGATGGTTGCACAGCACTGACAATCAGATGTCTATGTTTACTGTAAGTGACCCCCAGGACACAGCACGAGATTCTCCGCACTCGGCCAGGTTAGAAGAGCACCAAGCAGACTTGGATGCTTTCCTGCAGGTCGAAGTCCCAGCACTAAAGATGGACAGATTCTAGATGTTCATGATGTATATTCATAGTATTATATAGCTGGTTGGTGGTGACTGGAACAGCCATGATGGTGGTTAATAATGGTTAATAATGGTTCATAGATTCATAATGGTTAAGAATGGTTAATGAGATATAGCTGGTTGGTGGTGACTGGAACCATGGAATTTTATGACTTTCCATGCAGAAAAGGGAATGGAATAATCATCCCAACTGACTTTTAGTCATATATTTTTCAGAGGGGTAGGTTGAAACCATCAACTAGTATAGTATTATGTGGTAACCCCTGACTAAAAGTTGTCTTATGTTCTGGTAATTTAACATAGCTATGGACAATCACCATGCTATTCATGGGAAAATCAACTATAAATGGTCATTTTCAATAGCTTTTCGTATGTTTACCAGAGGGTACCCACAAAAACCCATCTTGGATATTGGTGGTCATTGATCCCATTCGGGATTTGTGGTGGAAGTCCGAATGGGATGACAAGTGGTGAAAACCCATTGGGCACCGGGTTTTTCTGCGCCTTTTTTTGGGCACCCCAGAATTTCCATGGTGAATCATTCTTCCCTCCCTTCCAAATGGCTATTTATATCTATTTATTAATACAATTTTATATGAACATAAATAGGAGATAATAGGAGTATATTGATATTATAGATGTGATTCTACAAGTTTATACATACGTATATAGGAGTATATTGATATTATAGATGTGACATTATATGGCTGTGCCTGAAAATGGTGACTATACCCATAAAATGACCATTCAATCAGGAAAATATTGGACCTTTTTTTGATACAACCATAGATTTAGAGGTACCCTATCAGACAAACCCTGATTTTGAATATTTCCCCTTCAATTACCACATTTTCATCCGCTTCTAGGTTAACTTTTCCCGACGAAGTGCCAGGAACTGAATGCTGCGCGGAAGTCGGAGACGTCCAACAGATTGGCGCTGCAGCAACTGCTGAAAACGGCGGCGCAGTTGCAGGTCATCCAAACACTTCGGAGGGTTACAGTGTCTTCTGCTGACGAAAATGTGGATTTTGTGGAAAGAATATTGGATTTTGCAATCTTATTATTTTTTTGGTAAGAGGTGGATGTGAAGTAGCAGAAACGGGATTTGAAGCCGTGAATGTGGACTTCATCCCCCCAAACATATTTGAGAACAAACAATGGGAACGATGATAGATGTCAAGCTCAGTGTCCAAAGGAATCCTTTTTCATTCCAAGTCCTTATAATATCATATATCGAAGCGGGAAGATTTTGGCTGACAAGGTATTAACCAAAATTCCGGGTTTCATTTCGAACATCAATTCGTGTTGACACCTGACATTGCCACAAGCTCTGACCGGAGCTGACCGGTTGAACTGGTTATCCCCTTCTTGGTTGGTTCAACATGTTGGTCAAATCCGTTGTTCATACCAGCAATCCGCCGTTGCTTCAGGGCTATGGTTCCCTGGTCATTTGGTAAACCCTTGCTTTGGGTGGATGACTGATTTTTTTCAGGAGCTGTTTTTAAAACAAGGGCAATATATCACATCCAATTTGTCTACAACAATCCAACAATATAATATAAGTATCGATCACGAAATATATACACAATTATACACACACACACTATCATGAATATAAATGATATGTGTATATATATATGTATATATATATATATCTAAATGCATATAAATAAATATATTATGAATTCATATGACATCCCTTGGGAAAAAAAAACAGCACCGGCATCCGCGAGGCCAAATTGGGACTGAGCAGCGAGATCTCCGGTGCAGTGGCGGCGGTTGGGGAGCACAGCAGGGGGCGAGCGGAGTGGCTTTCCAGGGGGAAAAATCAATGGCTACAATGTGAGGCCCCCAAGATAGCTAAGTTGGTTTATAACTCCAATAACTATGGTTTATGGTACTTAAAACTATAGTTAATGGGGTTAGGGTTTATAAACCATCTTATAACTGGGGGGCCCCACCTTGTATGGATCAGTAACTCTGGCTTTATGTGGGATGTAACACTGAAGAATTATCCGAAGTCATTGGCTTTAGTGGGATGTAACACTGAATTTGTTTTATATTGTTTTATGAGGTTTTGAGTATCGTAGATCTGGGGATATAGTTGATAATTGATGCTTGGTTCATGTTTTTGTTGGGGATTATATATATAATATAGATAAATATATACAATATATATTATATATATATCCAACATTAATTAGGGAATATCAGAATCTATTTTTAGGGGGAATCTCGTTCTCAAGTGGTGAAAAAAACCCATCATATCCCATCATGAAGTTGTTGGAAAAAAGGCCTTACGGCTTTAGCCTACAACATATTCATAGAGCCTTCAGCCCTTCGGTCATCAAACATGGCAATGGCATGGCGGCACTGGGCCGCCTGGCCGGCTCAGGCACTGGAAAAGGTTGGCATCCCGGTACAACCTCTGCAGGAGGCTATGGAACCCAGTGAAGACCCATCACCAGGAGTTAAACGCGTACCCGTAATCCGTGGGGCAAATCCTATATGTTTAGTGAATCAAGGA